ATAGAATCTGAAGCCTATTGTTTTCAGTTTTGGGAAATACCCAACAGCACTGGTCTTATAGGCATTTAAGTCTTTGGCTGACTGTCATTGTCACTGTTCTTTTGCTGTGACGAGACACTGTGACCAAGGCAACACATAAAGCATTTAATTGTTGTCTTGCTTCCAGTTTGAGAGGCTTAATTTCTTATCATCATGCTGGAGAGCATGTTGTTGCTCATGACACTGCAGCAGTAGCTCAGAGCTACATCCCGATTCCCAGACTGAGTGATAGCCGCAGGACCTGACATGGACCTTTGAAACCTCAAAGCCCACCCCTCCCCCTCGGTGACGCACTTCCTTTAACAAGGCCATACCTCCTAATTCTTGTAATCCATTCTAACAGTTCCCCTCCCTGGTGACTAAGCCTTAAAATATATGAGCCTGTGGGGGCTGTTCTCGTGTAAACCACACTGGTTTTTTAATATGTGTGCTGGAGATTTGAACTAGGATAATCTTGCTTGCACAGCAAGCTCTCCTACCCACTGAGCCCTGTCCCAGCCCTTCAAATATAGTTGAATCTCTTTTGGTTGTTGAAGATAGTTCTTAACAGGTAGCATCCCTTTTCTTGTTTGATTTATTCATTTGTTTATTTGCAGCACTAGGTATGTGAAGCAGGGGTCCCTGGACATGTTAAGCAAGTTCTGTCTCACTAAGTCCCTGGCTTTCTCATTGTGTCTTAACTCCTGATAACTCCATCCCTGAACCCTTCTGTTTTCCTACAGCTCCGTGAAGCTATGGCTGCCTTAAGAAAATCAGCTCAGGATGTCCAAAAGTTCATGGATGCTGTCAACAAGAAAAGCATTTCCCAGGATCTGCACAAAGGTTGGTGTTGAGGAGTAGCTACAGAGATGAGAGGTGTCCACAGTCGGCCTGAGCTTGTTTGATGTGGTGGCTCAGGCTGGTAACTGTTGTTACTATTGCTGTTAGTAAGGACGTGCTGGTAGGGTGTGCCGAAGGATACCTTTAGGTGTGAACGTGGGGATGTTCTGTATTCAGCGTTCTGTTTCTCCTGTTAGCATAAACAGTTGAGTTGTCTTGTGTTGCTGCCTTTGTCCAAGAGTTCAACAGAAGTGTCTAGTGGTCGCAGGATACCTCAGTTTCCTTTATTTCCTATACTACGTTCTTGTTTTTGAAATAGTATCTTTGGTATTCCAGGCTGACCTTTAAATTTGCTGTGTTGCTAAGGACGATTCTCCTCCCTTCTCTACCTGAGTTGCTGAGGTTCACATTCAGGGCTTTGTGCGTGCTAGGTAAGCACTCCACCAGCTGAGCTGCACCCCATCCTACTGTACTGCCCTCTTGACCTTTCCTTTCTCTAACCTATGACGTCACTCTTTATAACAACTTTGTGTGTCCGTAGGAACCTTGGGTCAGATGTCTGGAGAACTGAGCAAAGATGGGGACCTGATAGTCAACATGAGAATTCTGGGCAAGAAGAGGACCAAGACGTGGCACAAAGGCACCCTTATTGCCATCCAGACTGTTGGTATGTTCAAGCCAGAGGACGGACTAAGGAAAGTCTCCTGTGGGTCTCCATTGCTGATCCTTTCCCCAAAGCCTTTTCTTTCATCTCCTACATTGCACCCAGGTCTTAGAGTTGTGTTGTTGTCGTTTGTTTTGTTTTAATTCTGTTTGTCTTATACCCAGGGCTAGGAAAGAAATACAAAGTGAAGTTTGACAACAAAGGGAAGAGTCTGCTGTCCGGCAACCATATTGCCTACGATTACCACCCTCCTGCCGACAAGCTGTTCGTGGGCAGTCGAGTGGTGGCCAAATACAAAGACGGAAATCAGGTCTGGCTTTATGCTGGCATTGTAGCTGAGACCCCCAACGTCAAGAACAAGCTCAGGTACCTGGGCAGGTTTGTAGATTGTAGGGGAGCTGGGAGCACAGCACCCCACTATTCATAACCATGGGCAAGATTTCCCTGCCAGCTTTTGTGTTCTCATCCTTTGTAATCAGAAACCCTTCCTCTCTTCCCATGTCATTTCTTTTCTTCTTTTAAATACAGCATCTCTATGTGGCTATTGTCATATTTTTGTTTGTTTGCTTTTTGAGGTAGGGATTCTCTGTGTAGCCCTGGCCATCCTAGAACTTGATCTGTAGGCCATGATGGCTCAGAACACAGAGAGCTACCTGCCTTTGCCTCTGGAGTGCTGGGATTAAAGATGTGCACCACCATGCCCGACTTTCTGCCTGCTCATTTTAATATAGTGTAGGATAACCTGCTTAGGGTTCGCCCTCTGCAGTGTGCTGGACTATCCCACAAGAAAATGCCTTACACATTTGTCTGCTGGCCAGTGTAATGGAAGGATTTTCTCCTTCCTTTTCAATTTTTTTTTTTAAATTTTTGTCTATCTATTTATTTATTTATTTTGGTGACAGGATCTTTAGCTCTGGGTAGCCTAGCACTCAGTATATAGCCCATCCTGCCCTAAGGCTCACAGAGGTCCACCAAGTATTGGCATTCAAGGTTGACATTTCCTCTTCTCAAATCATCTTAGACTTGTGTTATATTTGCAAAATAAACAGCACACTTGAATTTATAAAATTGTAGTTTAGCCATGTATGGAGGCGAATGCCTTTAAGGAGGCAGAGGCAGAGGGCTCTCTGAGTTGGATCCCAGCGTGGTCTACAAAGGCAGTTCCAGGACAGCCAGGGCTGTTGTACAGACAAACCTTGTGTCAAAAAAACCAAAATAAAATACATAATTTGCAATTTAAAAAAATTGCTCTATGACTTGCAGGGTGACTCAAAACTATAATCTTGTCAAAAAGCTGTGGCACAAGGATCACTTCAAATTTGAGGATAGCCTGGGCTACATGGTGTGGTCCAGTGTAGCCTAAGTGACACTGTGAGATCTTGTCTCATAAAGCTATCAATTGTTAGCTGGGTGTGGTTCCAATTGCTTATAATCCCAGCACTTGGGAACTGGTAAGAAGAGGTTCTCAGTAGTTCAAGGTCAGCAGCCTTGCGGTACTGAGACCCTATTTCAACAAAGGGCTAAAGACTTGTGTATGGGAGTACTTGCTGCTCCTCTAAATGACCTGAGTTAAGTTTCCAGCAGCCATATCTGATGTTCACAACTATCTGTAGTTCTCCATGGGATCTGACATCTCTGCCTATTCAAGTGTCTGCTCTTAGGTACACAAACTTAAATGTAGGCACAGATACATATAATTAAAAATAATAAAAATTCACCCAGAGTTATATGGAGAAACCTTGTCTTGAAAAACCAAAAAAAAAAAAATCAAAGAAAAATTTAAAACAACTATCCAAAGCCTCTAAAACCACCCATTCAACCAATACAACCAAAGGCAACCAACAAACCAATTAAACAAGAAGCCAACATGATATATATTCTCTCACTATATGTTCTTTTAGTGGATGATTTATTAAACTTTTGTTTGTTTATAGTTATTTTTATGTGTGTGAGTGTGTGTATTTTGTATATATGGAGGTCAGAGGACAATAGTGAAGTTAGGTCTCTCCTTCCATCTCTGTGTGCCTTTGGAGGATCCAGCTTCAAGTACCTTAGCTCTTGATCCATTTTACCTGTTCTACTTACTTATCTTTAAATGTTTTTTTAACATACTCTGTGTGTGTGTGTGTGTGTGTGTGTACACATGTGTGAAAAACTGCAGACAATTTGTAGGAGTTGGTTCTCTTTCATTCTGTAAGTTTGGAGCATTGGAACGTGGGTTGCTAGGCTTGTCTGTGTATGCCTTTATCAGTGAAGTCATCTTGATGGCAAATTCTTAAATATTTGTTGAATTAGACTGTAAGACAACAAGACAAGGGTAGTGCAATATGCTGGTACTCCCAACATTGGAAGAAGAGCCAGTAGAAGCAGGAATTCAAGGCTATTCTTATCTACATTGTAAATTTGAGGCCAGTATTGGCTACATGAGACTTTGTTTCAAAGGGTAAAAATTAAACAGAACATAACCCCTTCCTCCACGTTTACATGGGAATGAATGTAATAGGTTTTCAGTGTTAGTTTCAGTTTGCTTCTCACTCCTGGGTTAATTTACAAGGTGTCATTTGCGTTATGTCTCTATTTTTATTTTACTTTTTTTGAGACAGGGTCTCTCTACATAGTCCTTGCTATTTTGGAACTCACTCTGTAGATCAGGCTGGCTTTGAACTCACAGACATCCACCTGCCTCTGGCTCTGAGTGCTGGGTTAAAGGTGTTCACTACTATGCACTGCTTTGATTGTATATCTTGATCTGTAAAATTGTGGAATTTCTCTCATGGTGTTGTGCATATACAGTGTCTGTCCTGAATGGCCCTTGTACAATTAGATAATATTTTATAATTAGACAATATCCTTATAATTAGACAATAATTCTGTGTGGTTATCGCCTTACCATTTGTTAAAAACTTGTTACTTTATACTTATTGACTTAGGAGAACTAGTTTCATTTTGTAGTACAGACTGAACTCTGCCTTCTGAGTGCTGGTATACATGTTTTAATAAAAATATATTCATTCATTGCTTCCAATTTTGCGTGTTGACATCTTTGGCACCACATGTTGATTTTTAATTACCCAGCTTCTTTTATCCTACCAAGTTCAAAACAGGCTTTAAAAAATTAGTTTTTTACCGGGACAAACAAAGGTCCTTAAAGGAAAACAGTCTAGATGGGATTAGCGATCACTACGTGAAGTTGACATATTAGAACACATAAAGAAGATTACATAACAAACCATCTGTAGGGAGCATATTCGGACGAGTAGAATAGGAAAGTAAACTTTTTAGTAAAATACTCGCTTTTATTGCTTTTCACTGACGTCAGCCTGGTCCTGAATCTCTGACGCAAAGAAGGCAGGATTAGGGAAACAGCTGGTCGGCTTCCTAGCTCTCAGGTCACTGGGCTCACAGACTTTAGTCCTTAGCCCGGCCCTCTGTCGACTTCGTATTCCTATTGGTCAGTTTTCCCAGGAGGCCGGCCGCCGCCTGGCCGCGCCCACCGCGTGGGGCGTGTCTCGGGGCGTGTCTTCTCCCGCAGGATGGGGGGGGTGGGCGTCCGCCATCTTGGATTCCGTGGTAGCGGTGGCGGCGGTAAGGTGTCGCTTCTGTGGAGTGGCTCTTCCCTCCCCTCCCCCAGCTCGGTGGCGGCAGCCCCTCCCACTGAGGGTGGCGCAGCGACGGTGCCATCTGGACCATGGCGGCGACTACGGCTAACCCAGGTGAGACCGGAGGGACTGACAAGTGCGGAGAAGTCGGCTGAGCACCCGGGCCGTGGCGGACTGGCGGTGGGGGAGGGGTGTGGGAGGTGCCTTGCCTGGAGGAGCTGGGGAGCGGGTGAGGGCGTTTGGGGGCTCCGGCCCAGGCTCGGAGTAGCGGAGGTGTCGGGTTGGGCCCCTTCCAGTGTGCGGGCGGCGTTCGGGAGTGGCGTGGTCTCAGCGCTCTGCCCGCTGACGTCCCGATGCAGAGTGGGCTTGGTTTACTGAGAGTAGTCTGGGCTCTAAACATGGGACCACACTGATGCTTCCCAGGTCTGGATCTCACAGTTGGAAAGTTTACATTTACAGGTATAACTTCGTTCTTTAAGTATCTGCTCCGGTTCTTGTCGTTTGTAACTCCCCCGCCCCGCCACCCTCACCCTCGGGCTAGACTTTGAAACTTGGGGTTTCTGTGTAGTTAGTGCCTGCTGCTGAAGGCGGAGATTTGGGTAATAGTTTCATTTCATGACAGGTCTTTATCCAGAATCCATGTTTAATCTTGTTAGGTCGAGATGGAGCAATTCCTATTTGAAATATTCTTTCAAAATATGTCCCATGCATTTGTCTGAGGACGCCCTCCCCCACCCTTCCTATTATTTTATTTTGAGACACGGTCTCACTCTATTCCCAGGTTGGTCTCGAACCGCTGCAGTTTTGTGTCTCAGCTTTCCCGCTACTGGAATTACCAGGCATGACCCATCTCACCCGATTGCCCAGTTCTCTTTCTACTACATTACAGTTATTTCTTATGAAATATTCCATTTTAGTGGGCCTGGTTTATCTTGACATTGTCCGACAAAGTAAATCCCCAAATCCCCAATTTCCCAGAAATTTGTATCTTAACAACCTTTTAGAAAGTAAGGATTTGGAGGGAGGAGTGAAGTATTGGTCTGCTGTCTAACATTAAAATTTAAAGCAGTATTATATTGCAATAGCAGGTTTGCATACGCTAGTGAATCAAATCACTGCTTTTCCATTACATCTGGAAACCACCTTTTTTCCTTTTCTTTCTTTTTTCTTTTTCTTTTTTTTTTTTTTTGAGGGTCTCTCTACATAGCCCAGGCTGTCCTAGAACTCATTATGTAAGCGGCCAGCCTGGCCTCAAACTCATGGAAATCATATGTCAATGTCAGTTTTAAAAAAGTGATTTTTTTTTTAAGCTAAGTGGAAATGTTTACTGGTGGGTGCAGGTGTGGGGAGTCCAGAATGAGGTGTTACAGTAAGAGTTGTAAAGCCATGTGGTGTAGATGCTGGAGCCCCACCTAAGGAGTCCAGAATGAGGTGTTACAGTAAGAGTTGTAAAGCCATGTGGTGTAGATGCTGGAGCCCCACCTAAGGCCCTACAAGAACACACACTGCTCACCACTGAACCTTCTCTTCAGCGCCTAACTATCAATTTCTTAATATTAAATTATTTTTTACATGAAAAAAGATGAAATAAATCTTTAGGATTCTATTGGAGTAATTGTGGAATCATAGAATGGAAGTATACAACTGGAAAATGTTAGGGAAAGCCAACCTGTAGTAAGTAGCTCAGGTCTGATTTAGAGAGTAAACAAGATTTCAATCTGATCACACATTGCAAAACCCTTATATAACTCTTCCAAGTGCAGCGCGATACTCTTGTTAAGAAGTACACAGACAAACAGATTTTGGTGTGTAAGTCAGGCGCTTTTCCAGCTGTGTGGGTGGAGCTGCCTTCTGCATTCTGTTTTTAAACAAGCCACCAGAATGACAGTTGCTGGATCAGACTTTTCTTTCCTGATCAATAGTAGCCTAAGTCTCTAAGCCGTAGGGATAGTTGGGAGACTGTCCTGGAGCTTTCTATGTAAATCAGGCTCGCCTTGAACTTGCAATGTCCTCTTCTGTCTTCAGGTGCTGGCATTACAGCATATAAACTTGCAAAACTTTTAATATGGTGAAGAAACTCTTTTAATGAAACAGTTATGTTTTTTGTTTTGTTTTGGAGTTTTGAGGCAGGGTTTCTCTGTGTAGTCTTGGCTGTCCTGAAGTTGCTCAGCTGGCGAGGCAGACCTTGTACACAGAGATCCTCCTGCCTCTGCTCCCTAGTGCTGGGATTAAAGGTGTGCGCCACCAACAGTTGATTTTGTTTATTTCCATTTGATTGCTTTCTTCAATTTTGAGATTGCATTTTATTTTAATTAATTTATATTTTGGAGACAGCATCTCCCTGATGCAGGATAGGAAGATAGATAATTGTGGGGTCATGGGAAGGGAAAGGAGTCTTTTCACAATCTGACTGAAGACATTACTACATTTGCTACAGCCTTTATCCTCTTCCTGCTGTAAAACTTCAGTTTTGTAGAAGTCTCACCAAAATTTGCCTTTGTAATCCAAGGGCACATCTGAACCCCTCATGGAACCTCCTGGCTCCCGGTGTTGAGTCATCCTGTAATTGTACTCACTAAAGGAAGAAGGAAGACTTATGAACTCCTTTAATCTTTGCAGAGGCGTAGGCATATCTGAGTTCAAGGCCATCTTGGTCTAAATAGTGAGTTCCGGGTTACACAGTGAGACCTTGTCAAAAAAAAAAGGCAAATCAATACAAAGGGGAGGAGTGGGTTCTTAGCAAACCTTGAGGTGGAACCTATGAATCACGAGTCTTGTAAGTTGTTTCAGTGCTGGGCTCGCTTAGTCAGCCCATACTCTTCTTTCCTGAGAGCCTTTTCTTTTTATTTTTAAACTCGTGTGCTTGAAATCTGTATTGTAATTGCTTTTAATAAACTTTAATCATCACACTTGCTTATCCTGAAATTCTTCTCTGAGTAAACTCAGGAATCCTAGGTTTGCCTGAGTGCAGTTCCCTAAAGGGAAAGGAAGCTCTCCAGACTGCTGTCAGTGAAAGCCTTGAACTCAGTCTTTGTTCCCGCTGTAGCTGACATCCCTGTGTAACCGAGGCTAGCTCAGCTCTGGAGTGCTGGATCATAGGCATGGGCATAGAAAGGACCACCACACCTGGTGAGATTGACCCTCTGCTGTTTTTGTGTATCATCTGTCCGTCCGTCCTTTCTCTGGGGCTACGTTCCCAGCCTAGGATTTCCATCTCTTCTAACTTACTGATTCCTGTTTCAGTAACATGTGGTAACGAAGTTAGAACGTAATGCCCTTTTGCTGTTGTTTCCCCCTTTCCTTTGTGTGTCAAATAGAGGATGTGTTGTGGACTTCTTAGTTACTGGTTGAATTTTGGAAAATGAGATCCATGACTGAAGGGGCATCCTATGGGAGATGTACTGTGTTCAATGAAAAGGAAGGAAATGGTTCTTATGTCAAATTTCCTGCCCTCTTGAGACCAGGCTAGCCTGGAACTCACTATGTTGTCCAGGCTGTCCTCAAACTTACTTTGATCCTTCTGCCTTTGCCTCCTTAATGCTAAAATTATAGATTTGACACTCAGCCATTAGGAATTATCATGGCTTATTTCCTTAGATCAGTTTTAGAGACCAGTGACATCATTTCTTTGATTTTTTTTTTCTTTTTCTCTTTTTTTTTTTCTCCAGGATAGGGTTTCTCTGTGTAGCTCTTGCTGTCCTGGAACTCACTCTGTACAACAGGCTGGCCTCTAATTAATTAGAGTCCCACCTGCCCCTGCCTCCCAAGTGCTGGGATTAAAGGTGTGCACCATCACTGCCTGGCTCTTTGAAATTTTTCAATTTTATTTTTGCTTAAGTGAGTTCTGAATATATTTCTTTGCAATTGTTAGTTTTGAAATGCCTGAAAAAAATTTCTTTTAAGTACTGTTGTAGGGCTGGAGAGATGGCTCAGCGGTTAAGAGTACTGGCTGCTTCTTCCAGAGGACCTGGGTTCAATTCTCAGCACCCATATGGCAGCTCTGTCTGTAACTCCAGTTCCAGAGGATCCAAGACTCTCACACAGACATACATGCAGGCAAAATACCAATGCACATTAAATAAATAATAATTTTAAAAGTGTTATGTGTGTATCTGTTTGTGTATGTTGCTCATGGTTTGCAGGTCAGAGATCAACTCTCCAGAATTGATTTCCTCCTGCTCATGCCTGTAATTCTAGTCCTTGGGAGACTGAGTTATGAAGATTATCACAGGGTAAGGCCAAACAAACAGAAAGACTTTTCATGGGCTGGAGAGATGGTTCAGAGGTTAAGAGCATTGGCTGCTCTAGGTCCTGAGTTCAATTCCCAGTCACATGGTGGCTCACAACCATCTGTAATGAGAACTCGTGACCTCTTCTGGCCTGCAGGCATACATGCAGACAGAACACTGTATACATAATAAATAAATATACCTTAAAAAACTTTTCTCTCTGAGCTTCATTTAAGTTAATATTAGGGTTGGAAACGTTCTTTTTTTTAAATATTTATTTATTTATTTATTTATTTATTATGTATACAATATTCTTTCTGTATGTATGCCTGAAGGCCAGAAGAGGGCACCAGACCTCATTTCAGATGGTTGTGAGCCACCATGTGGTTGCTGGGAATTGAACTCAGGACCTTTGGAAGAGCAGGCAATGCTCTTAACCGCTGAGCCATCTCTCCAGCCCCTGGTTGGAAACATTCTTGAGCATGTTAATTTGTGTGCAAGGTGGTGCTTGAGAGATAGCTTAGTGGTTAAGAGTACTGGCTACCCTTATAGAGGATCCAGGTTCTACTCCCAGCACCCACATGACTTCACACAACCTCTAACTTCAGATCCAGGAGATCTAATGTTCTCTTCTGGCCTCTGTGGACACCAGATGTGCATGTTGTACACAGACGCACATGTGGGCAAACCATCCCCATATATAAGGTCTCTGAGATGGATCGGGGTTAATTATCTGCTGACAAGCCTGATGGCCTGAGTTCCAGTGATGGACCCACGTGGTAGCAGGAGAGAGCTGACTTCTGTAGGTCCTCTGACCTCATGTGTGCTCTTGTGCAGACACACGTAATGTAGTTTTTCAAGAGTCTACTAATGGTACTTTCTTTT